CGCCTAGCCAATTCCGGTCAGGCCGGACACCTCCGCCTAGCAAGTTCCGGCCAAGGCATCTCGCGTGACCAGAATCCGTGACGTTACATGGCTACGTAAGCGCGCAACGTGACCATGTGATCTACGCACATGCGTGGAGTAGTGACGTGACCTGGCCACGCCCCCAGCCAGTTTTTAAAGCGGAGCACCATATTCCCGGTTCTCTTCTCTCCTCTCTTCTTCTCCACGAATGTGTCTCTCCCACAGGCCTGCGCACTCTCTATCCCTTTATCTCTAATAAACTCTATAAGCGGATTCTGTCGTGTTTCGTGACACTTCCTTGCAGGGTAAGAACACAACGCAGCTAAATACTAACAAAGGTCAACTGATCTCCCGAGTGTCTCTTCACAGCAATAGAATATTGACTAATTTAGTGACTTCAATTGGGAAAAAAAATGGTAAGGGGCTAGAGAGATGGATCAGTGGTATAGTGCTTACTGATTTTGCAGAGGACTCAGGTTCAGCTCCTAAGCACACATATGGTGGCTAACAACCATCTGTAACTCCAGGTTCAGAAGATCTGATACCCTCTCCTGACCTCTGCAGACTCCTGTACTCATGTGGTATACAGACATACAATCAGGCACACACACATACACATAAAACAACAACAAAAAAATTTAAAGAAAAGTGGCCAAACCACAAACAGGTAAACAGATGAAAAATCTAAGCTGCTAAGTGTAGGAAAAGACACTAAAGAATTAGAGAGACACAAATCATACAGCGTTTGCGTGTGTTGACTGGCCTCTGCTGGAAAGCTGGCTGACGCTAAGCTGTAAGGACTTAGTGTCTTGGACGTCAGTCTTGCATCACTGAAGCCTGGACGGCTGTGAAGAGGATTAGGTGCGGCCTTGTTGGAGTAGGTGAAAGGATCCTGGCTCTCCAGGGCGGAGCTCCGGCCTTCATGTGCAGCGCCTCTGCTGTGGCAATCCTCTCCACAGGAAATCCCCGTGGAGATGTTCACGGCAACAGGTTTCTGTAGGGGAAGAAGTGATGGCACCTCGAATGTCTGCCGGCAGGGAGGAGTGTTATGTGGAGGTCAGACATTCTGAACGAGATGTTTACAGCGCAGTAGGATGTCAAAAACCGAGAAAGGACGAAACAAGATGTGTCACACAGGCACACAACCAATAATAATACACTTTTTGCCAATAAGAACACATGCAAACATCACTGTTTATTACCATAATGAAACAGCTACCTTTGGAGGAAGGAGAATGAAGGTCAGGCTATAGGTAAAGGAGGGTAAGTGAATGAATAAAGTAAGAAAATGGCTTTGTGCCAATAATTATATGCAAAAGAGAGAAGAAGAACAGGAGGAGGAAGAGGAGGAGGAGGAAAAGGAGAATTCAAACCTCTTTAGTTCGGGCTATTGAAAACAATCACAAGACAAGGGAAGAGATGTGCACAAACCGTTAACAATGTACCATATAAGCTCACAGCTGAGGGACACATAAGACAAAGAGAGACCCTGGAAGTACAGTTAGGAGAACCAGAGTTGGCTTGATGGGGAAGGCATTTGGCTGCATCAGCGTGGCCACTGAAGAACATACCTCTTCCCAGAGAGCTGTGAAAGGAGAAGCTCACTCCCAGAGCAGTCTGGGGACCTCTCAGCAGGGGTCTGTATCAGAGCATCACAGTGGACTCCTAGCACCATGCCAGAGGGGCCTGCTATGGGGGCGGATAGTCAAGGAGGCAGGAAAGTGGCCTCTAGCTGGGCCCGGGCTGGGTGGCCTGAATCTGCCTTCTGCTTCCGGAAAATTAGAAATAGCTGTCCTTCCCAAGACAACTACAAAAGCTAGAGACAGCACACCCTCATTTTAGCACTGAGAACTGGGGTTTTCTTTTTTAAAAGACACATAGGAGGAGGGCCGGGGTGAGCTGACAAGGGGAAGACGAAGAGACAAGGAACAGAAGGACAAAAGCCGGTGACTGGATGAAGGTGACCAAACATCTTATGCACATGTAGGAAAGTGTCCTACTGAAGCCCATCATGTATAATGGACACATACTGAGAAGGATATTCTGTCTTGTTCTGTTCTGTTTTTTGAGATGGGGTCTCTCACAGAGCTCTGGCTGTCCTGGAACTCACTATGTAGATCAGGCTGGCCTCAAGCTTACAGAGATTTGCTTGTCTCTGCCTCCTGAGTGCTGGGACTAAGGTGTGCAATGCCCAGCAACAATGACATTTAAAAAAGAGGGACAGGAGAATCGGGCGGAGAGGGGAACCTTACCGCGGTGTGATCATCCACAGAGGGGAGAGAGTTCACAGACCAGGCTTGTGGTTCAGTTTCAGAGTGTCTGAGCCGTGTGAGAATAGCCGCTCTTTGGACGGGCTGCTGCAACCCAAGGAAAAGATGTGTCTGCCATACAGCAAAGTGGTGGACCCATTGCCCTGGCGTGTGTCTACACAGTGGGGTGGGGACTGACTCCAACGTCCTACAGAACCTTCTCAAGCCCCATTCCAGGTAGTCTAGTGCCCTCAGCTGTTGGGAGAAGAAAATCCTCTTTCAAATTAGGTCTCAAAATAGTAATTCAAAATAAGCCGCTTGATGAGTCAGTCTTTGTGCACAAGGTGCATAAAGCATGTGAGAAAAACAAAAACAAAAACAAAAAACTCAAACAAACAAACAGCCCCCCCAAAACAAAACAAACAGCAGAATGGACAGTATCACATCCCGAGCATCCCAGCTGCGGTGATTATCTGATACAGGCTAAGTGAAGTGATCCTGACTGTGTCCATGGAGACAAAGGCTGAATTTACATTTTTATGTAAGGATATGGAAAATATGAAAGCAGCATTGGAGGTTTGTTTAAAAATGAGCTACCACCTGGCTCTGTAGTGCAATGGATAGTGCACTAGACTTCTAGTAAAAAATGAGATACCGACCTACCGGCAATCTTGTTGAAGAGAGGGAGGAAAGATTGTATGAGCCAGAGGGGTCCAGGTCATCACAAAGCAGCCCGCAGAACCAACTAATCTGGGCTCATAGGAGTTCACAGCCTCTGGACTGACAGCTAGGGAGCCTGCATGGTACTGACCTGGGTCCTCTACATGTGTGTAACAGTTGTGTAGCTTGGTCTACTTGCGGGACTCCTAGCATTGGGATCAGGACCTGTCCCTAACACTTGAGCTGGCTTTGGGGGACCTATTTCCCATACTTGGGTGGCTTAATACAAAGAGAGGAGCTTAGTCCTACCTCAACATGATATGACATGCTTTGTTGAAACCTGGCCCTTTAGGAGGAGTGGATGGTGGGGGGAGGGGAGGAACAGGAAGAGAGGAAGAGGAGCGGAAACTGAGGTCAGGGTGTAAAATAAATGAAAAAAAAATTTAATTAATAAAAAAAATGAACTACCTAGATATAGAACTGTAAACAGTGCAGTAGCCAACTAAGAAGTCAATAGAAGGGTTAACAATCCGCGCAAGGAACCATTCAGAAGGCAGACCAGAGAGGCTAAATTAGACCGCAAGGGCAGGATGTGAAGGGGATTGACAGCTCTCACCACATCAGTCGGCAGGGCTGACTCAGCGCCTGCGGATCTGGCCCCCTGCAGTCTCCGGGGTGCATGGGTGTGTGCGTGTGGAGGTGCTTGGAGGGTCCAGGCGTCCGGGAGAAGAAAGGCTCCAGGGCCTCCTTCCCCGCACCCCAGTAGGCAGGTTCAGACCCGGGAGCTCCGCCCCGTCTCTCGGTTCTGCGAAGCGCACCTGCGCCCTCTAGCGGGAAGGTTTGGAACTTCTCTGAGGTCCCGGACTGCGGCCGAGGGACCAAGTCCCCGCTGTAGGATCTGGGTGGTCCTCAACTCGGGGGGATGCAGGGGGCATGCGGAGCGAGGCGGGGGCTCACCCGGAGGAGTGGGCGTGCGTGGGTCAGCCTCGGCGGGGGATGCCGAGGTCCTCTGTCCTCTCCTCGGTCCTGTCCGTCTGTCTTCCCAGTCCCCTCCTTCCACACAGCCAGCTCCTAGGGACTTTTCCTCCTCCTGGATGTGTGCGGGCCACAAAATTTCTAAGCAGCGTCACCAGGAGCTTCCCTTACTCGTCTGGAAATTCGCTGCTTCTAAGAAAAACGCGGAGTGCCCACAAAGATTTAGGAGGAAATAATGGAAAGCGGAGAGTGGAGGGCACTGTAGTTAATATTTAAAACTGGTTCTAAGACCCGGGCAGTTACTAAGCCAGAAGGGTGGGACCACGGGGTCAGATTCGCGAGTGTGTAGATGTGTGCCTCTCCCGCGCGAGGCCCTGGGTTCCTCCCAAACTCTGGAAAACCTGCAATCAAAACCCACTTCCAAATCATCGGCCTCTGTCGGCCCTTCAAGATCCAGGAACAAAGGACAAAGGCAAGGTGTCGCAAGAGAGGAAGGGGAGGAAAATCCGATTTTAGAACCACACACACACACACACACACACACGCACGCACGCACACCATAAATCATATTTTAAAGGTATACATGTGCATGAAGGCCTTCAATGGCTTCTAGTCCTAGTGTAGAATTCTGCCTCTCTCTCTGCCCACAGGCCCTTTCCCACAGGGCCTCATCTAACCGCTGCCGCTGTGGTTTTCTTGCTGTTCCTCAGTGCTTCCCACACACCTTCCTCTCTCTGGATGGCCGGATGTCATTGCCCTGCAGCAAGCCTTAGCCTGGGTCTTTCCCCTTCAGAAGAGCCTTCCTGGGCCAGCCGAGCCGGAGCTGGGCCCTTTGCCTGCGGCTCCTAATCTCCATTTGTTTATTTCCAGCTTAGTGTTTATTACGATCTTTAAATGCCTCGCATATTTATTTGACTTTTATATTTGTCTCAGTAAGTTTTTTTTTTTTAATTTGGGATGGGCTGTCACTGTGTACTCTAACCTGCTCTCGAACTCTTGATCCCCCTGCCTCAGCCTCCTGGGTGTTGGGAATATAGGTGTGACCATCTCTCCAGACTTTTTTTTTTTTTTTGGTTTTTCGAGACAGGGTTTCTCTGTGTAGCTTTGCGCTTTTCCTGGATCTCGCTCTGTAGACCAGGCTGGCCTCGAACTCACAGAGATCCACCTGCCTCTGCCTCCCCAATGCTGGGATTAAAGGCGTGTGCCACCACCGCCCGGCCACTCTCCAGACTTTTTTGTTTTTCAGGTTCTTGTCGATATACAGTCCCATCTTTTACAAGTAGAAGGTTTTTGTTATGTTTTTTTTCCTTCTCTTAATGCAACCGAGCTTTAAAAGAATGGTGACTGATGATGATCATGGTATGCGTTCCTCACTGGTACTGGATGTTTATAGAAATAATCTGAGAGCTTTGTAGCTCTGGTAAAATTTGTTCTTGACTTCTGGTGGACATTCTCTGTCACATCTCCACATCTCCAATTCCTTCCCTCACTGAGCGTGGTGGTGCACAGCTTAATTCCAGTACTTCAAGTGGAGGCAATAGGATCAGGAGTTCAAGGTCAGCCTCAGCTGCTTAGAGAGTTGTAGCTGGAGAATTTCTCTCCAGCTCCCACCAAGTTCCGCCAGTCCCGGAGCCCATTTATAAAATAAACACACAGACTCATATTATTTAAACTGCTTGGCCATTAGCTCAGGCCTATCATTGTCTAGCTCTTACTCTTATACTCAGCCCATTTCTATTAATCTATACTTTGCCACGTGGCTCATGGCTTACTGGTACCTTACATCTTCCTTGTCCTGGCGGCGGCGGCTCCAGGCAGTCTCTCCCTTCCCTTCCTGTTTCCTCAGTTCTCCTCTCTGTTAGTCCTGCCTATACTTCCTGTCTGGTATTGGCCAATCATTTTTTTATTTATACAGAGCGATATCCATAGCAGAGAGTTTGAGGCCAGTCTGGGCTACGTGATACTGTCTCCTTAGATTATTTTACTTTTCCAATTCTAGCCTAATTGGTCTATTTAAATTCTGTCTTATTTGGTGTCAATTGCATATTTTTAGGAACAGTTTTCTCTAGATGTTCAAGTTGGATGCCATGGAGTTCTATGTCACACAGTCTTGTAATTATTTATCCTTTCTTTTGTAACTGGCATTACACTGTTCTGATTTCAAATATTGTTTGTATTTTATAACTTCCATTGTTTTCTTATGAGTTGCCTACTTACAATTATTAAAAACTAGCTTTGGTCTGGGCCTGGTGATGCCAGCCTGTTCCCCCAGCCACTTGAAAGACTGAGCAGAGGACGCAAAGTGGACATCTTTTCTGCTGTACAAAGCAAGCTCAAGGCCAGCCTGGACAACTTACTGAAGCCCCACCTCGAAATTAAAAAATAAAAGTAAATAAACACTAAAAGAGCCTGGGATATAGCCTATATGTACAAGGCTTTAGGCCAGTCCCCACCACTGAAAGAAAAATAACCAACCCCATGATCCAGCAAGACTCGTTCATTTTAGGTGTAGACGCTGAGACTGGAGACTCAGAGAGCTGTCTGGGTACCAGTGTTCATGGAGGCAAAGGTAGAGACAGTTCTCCCCGACGTTAAGAAGAAACTCAGAGCCTCACGAGAGCTAGGTAAGTGCTTTGCCGCTAAGCCACATCAGGGGGAGGCAAGCACATGGGCTAGCTTAGTGACTTCACACACAATGCACATGCTTGCCTGTGTCTCTCACCTGTGCACACCCCTCCCTGAGCAGCCCTGGACCCCACCTGCAAGCTGCTCGTACATCTCTCTGAACAAAGGAATATGTTTCTTCTCCCCTTAGCCACCATCAACTTAAACAGGTTCTATCTAAACTGTACTCTCCTTATGTCCAGTAAGAGATCAGAAAGGCCAGTCTGTCCTGAACTGAACTTTCGGGGAGGGTCCCCTATTGATCTATATGCCTATGTATAATTTGGATGTGCACATGATTTAAAAACAGATGCTTCTTGGGAAGGAACATGAACAGTAGAAAAATGATACATGGCCTAGTCTGTCAATCAAAGTAGAGAACCACTCAGACTGCTTCCCTTAGCAGCCAGCCCCTCTGTCCCCTCCTTTAGACCCATAACACGAGGAGTCGGGCAGTAACCTGGGGCCCTAGGGCCTCTTCACTCCTACGGCCGGCTGTCAATCTTGACAATCTATTCCTTTCTGTCCTATACTATTGCTTTGCTTTGGATGAAGTATTCTTGCTACTTTGCAACCTGTGTGTGCCTTTATTTTGTTTATTCAAGAACATGGAAACCCTTGGCCCAGACCCCTAAGAACAATTAAAGTCTGATCTATACTATGTATCGGTTTGCCTTCAAAATATTGTGCTGAATGAAGTCAGCTGAACACAGATGATCTACATATATACAGGGTCTCACTCTGTAACTCTGGCTATCCTGGGACTCACTCTATGGATCAGACCTGCTTCTGCCTCCCGAGTACTGGAATCAAGGAGTGAGCCACCACACCCAGCTGAGGAACAAAGAATCTATGATAAATTTCCTGTGATTAGTGTAACCTGTGGGGGGTTACAAAGAGCTGGGGAGAAAGAAATGGCAGTCAGTGTTTAATGGATATGAAATTTCAGTGGCTATGATGAAATTGTTATTTGTTTGCTTTTGAACAAGGCCTAACTAGTACAGCCTTGGCTGGCCTTGAACTCATGATGTGGACTGCCTTTGCCTCCCAGCTGCTGTTAAAGTGTCCATTGCCATGCTGGGTCTGTTTATTTTTTCAGGCAGAATCTCATTCTATAACCCAGCCTGGCCTCAGTTTACTGGGATTTCACATCTGCTGGGAAATTTGATTCAGGGCAAAGCCACCTTGGGAAATGGTGGGTGTCCAACGAACGGCCCAAGAGCTTTTATCCATTTGCCGAGAATCAAACTCCAGTGGATACAGGTCCAAATCCAAAACAAGAAGCATCGAGCCTTTAGAATCAAGCTCAAGTGGATACAGGTCCAAGTCCCAAAGCATCGATCCTTTAGAAGAAGATGTAAGGAACAAGACATGGTATTTTAGGGCTGGGAGTACAGTTTAGTGGTAGAGTATTTGTCTGACGTGTGTAAGACTCTGTGGCAGCAACACACACACATCACACCACACACATGCTACACACCACACACACATCACACCACACACACAGCACATACCACATGCCACACACACACATACATCACACCACACACATACATCACACACACACACCGCACACACCACACACACACCACACATACTACACACAAACACATGCCACAAACATACCACACACACATACACCACACACACACACACACACACCACATATACCACATACATACACACCACCCACACACATATACCACACACATACCACACACATATATATACCACACTCATAACACACACACACATACCACACCACACATGCACATATTCACACAGAGTATTTTGATCCAATTATTATAAAGAGAGAAAATCAGAATATGTTAACACAACAACTTTCTGTGTTTCAAAAGACCCCATTTTTTAGTTATAAAGAGCCAGTGAGATGGCCCTGTGGGTAAAGGTACCTGCCGCCCAACGGTTGACCTGAGTTTCATCCTTGGGACCCACATGCTAGAAGGAGAGAACCGAATCCCACAGATTGTCCTCTGACCTGCACTCACATGAACTGTGCCCACACATATGAATGAATGAATGAATGAATGAATGAATGAATGAATAAATAAATAAATGTATTTTTCAGTTATGAAATAAGCTCTAAGTGGGCATGGTGTGA